CGTCACTTCTGTACAATTTAATCAAAGGAGTGATCAGTAATCAGGGCTCCAGTTTAAATGTGGTTGCGTTATTGTGCCATGCTGCAATTCGGTTAATGGTGGCCATCGTGACCCTGCTCCGCCTCAAAGCAGCAGATATTTGGGTTTAATTTCCATCTGTTCTGCATCAGGGAGCCTGAGATTGTGCTGCTTTGTTGTAAAAAAAAAAAAAATGAAAAAAAAAGCCAAGTATAACCCACAATACACTAGTTTATCATTGCCCCTTTTTAAGAAGTTCTTTAATCAGCAAAGCAGGCTTTGTCATTTAAAAGCATTTTATACCCTGCAGAAATGCACAAGTGATTGGATGCTTAGAGCTGCAGAGGCCAAAATTCTGCACCAGTCATTTCCTGCAGCACAGTGAAGGCAGAGTTGTGTAGCACCAGGGGGTGTGATCACAATTATGGGTTGGAAAGCCAGTAATGCTCTGCCCACTTTAAGTTTAGCTAAGCTCATTAGAGATGCAGCAGCCAGCCATACCAACAGCTTATAGATGGGGACTTAAATTCATGGAGCACAGCCCCTTTGCCAAGTGCAAAGGGATGTTGTGGATCCAGGCCAGCACAAATCCAGACTAGGTTCCTGCAAGTCCCGAGTACAGCAAGGTCTCTGCAGCATCCAGCTGCTTCATTTTAAGTTGCATGTTAGACACAACAAACCTAAAGAACTTTTAAAGAGGAAATGCTACTTGGAATTGAGTCACACTAGACAAATCCAGGTTACGGGATCTTTTGGCTTTTTCTGCATCCAGCAGCAGATACTATAAAAACAGAGCAAGACTCAGCCTCATGAAAGAGGTTTATTTGCATATAGAAGCAGAGATTCCTCTGGAACCTTGAGACCTTTGGAGAGAGAAAAGTTAACAAGCAGGCACAGTTAGAGATGCATCTTAAGAGGGAGCCTCACCAGAGAGATCCTTAGAAGCCACTCTGGGCTGTGTATTGAGAGGTTTTGCCATGGTATGGGTACAGGGGCTCCTGGGGCTCTCGGGGTTCTGTTGGCGTGTAGCGGAACTGAGTTAGCCGCACACGCCGCTTGTTGTAGTGCGCCTTGGACTTGAAAGCGTAGACTTGATCCTCAGCGGCAGCCGGAGTGAAGACTGGTTCTTCCTCGCCACTGGTGTCAGAGGTCCAGCCCCCCTCCGATAACTCGTAGTGGGCTCCCGGAGTCCCATACTGGTCCTCCTGAGTGCTGTAATGCTGGGTCCCAGAACCACTGGATTGTCTGGTAGGGTTCTCATAAGTGGACTTTGGTGGCTCTTGTCTCAAAACTGGAGTCGAATACCATGAAGTACCTGAAAGAAACCCCAGGGACAAGCAGGAGTCAGTTATGGTTTAATCAAGGTTAAGACACATTTTTAAAGGATCTTACCACTTTGTGGAGCGCAAGTGATGCTTCCAACTAGCATACATGAAATCCACAGCACCCTGCAGACACAGGGCTCACGTCAGAGTGCTTTTCAGACCAGTTAGACTGTTTAAACCTCCGTCACCTCCACCTGACATGCAGCACAGTCACAGGTGATCCAGCTCAGATCAGACACAAAGGAACTCACCTCATCCTGCTTCAGTAACTACAGGTTAGACTCAACTTTGACCTGTGATCGTTTCCTGACAGACTGCACCGACACAACGTTCAGGGCTTTCTGACACCGTCTCCCTGCGGCCGGAGCTGTTTTATACGATCCTCTGTGCAGACGGGGGCTGATTGGGGCTGATTGTTCAGCGCTCACAGCTGCTGTCCAATCATCCGGGTGGCCTGCATTGTTTGGACTCCGAGTTTCTCCTCGTTGTTCCCTTCTTACCTTACCTTATATTTGAATAGTCTTTGCTGCATGTTTGAAACTTGCATTTCAGTCAGAGCTGCATGTGTGATTCATGTCAATATTCATATTTTCAGTCTTGGATTAATGTAATGCTGTCAATTTTCTAGTTATTTCTTTTGTGTCCATTTCTCTGTTGTCATTGTGATTAATTTAGCCTTTATCCAAATTAATCTTGCTGTTTTGTTCTGATCCATTCAGGGTTTGATCTGTAGTTTAACTGTCATCAAAGCCAGTCAGACTTCCTCTTTTTGGTTTATACTCCCCCTTGTTGTTGAAATATTCAGGACCTGGCTGGTATAATGAGAACATAAGTTCTTTCTGCCTTCCTGTTTGTTTTCAGGCTAATGTGTAAGGTAATGCAGACAGCAAACATCCTCTAAAAAAAAGAGTGAACCGGGCTCACTCCTATCTGAGCCACTGAATCTGTCTGAGTGTTATATTGGCCTCACCGCTCATCAAAGCTGCAGAAATGACCCCTGTTGGGTCAGTTGATGCAGGACTGAATGCAGGTTGTAACTTTTCAAACCGCAGACAAAAGACAGATGCAAGTGGAAAAACAAGGAAATATATCTGTGGCTACTGTTTCCTCATTTGTCACAGTGTTTGTAAAACTGGAAGTGGGCTCCCTTTTTGTTGAGTTTAAGCAGGATTTTTGTCCACCTTTGACTGATCAGCCTGCTGTTTTCAGCTGAGGTACAGTTCAACTCCAGACCCTCCAAAATGTATGAAATCTTAGTGGATTTCAGTCAGTAGACAAATGGAAAGAAGAAGGAGGCTCTTAGATTTTGCTGCAAAGAGCAAATAGAAAATCACTGATGACTGTTCATGGCTGAATGAGCATAGACCTCTAGTTCCAAGAGGGGCACGGTCAGAGTGGATAGTTAATGAAAGAAACGCTATAAAGAGATACAATCAAACGAATAAATAACTACATAGAGACCCAGCGGGCGACTGTGGTCTCTGGGCCTTTCCCTGGCTCCAGTAAATAAGCAGCTGGTGTTAATATCAGAGAGGAGCAGTGTGTGTCCTGCCTTTCAAAGGAAGCTGAGAGCCAAAGTGGTCTGAGACCAACTACCAATCGTCTGCGCTGCTGCAGCACTCTGGGCCCACCAATCCAGACGAGGAAGCAGCAGGAAAGCAAGCATCTAAACGAAAACTCACCATGAAATGTTTCAGACGTGCGCTTTGGTGTTTTGGCTTTCGATGTCATTGCTTTCGTTAAACAAAATCAGGGACGTAGCGAAACTATGAAAAACAGATTCTTAGGCGGTTTGATGATGTAACTTAAAACGCAGAAACGAGCCAAAAGGCATTTGAACTTCAGCTTCAACTGCAACAACACCCTTTAAAAATGGGAAGTCATCTGCGATCAGTTGACTTCGGTTTCGTTCAATAATAAAGACACTTTGTGGATCTCCAAATGGAAATAGCATCGATGCAGTATTTTTCTTGTGAAATACACTTCTGCCAAACATCGATGGGGAAAGGAATCATAGATGAGCTGGCAAACACATCTTCAGAGGTATCCATCAGTGGGCCTTTTCAGCTGATGTCACAATACGACTCGGCAGGTAACTCAGGTGAAGTCTCAGTGACAACATGGACAGAAACTCACAGCCAGCAGGTCAACATCTGGGCTGCAGACGTTCTCCTCTCACTGAAATGTCCAGGATTCCAGCATGTGCTGTAATCCGGCCCTGTGATCCTTCTCCTTTCCTGTTCCCTTTCTGTCTGCAGCCTCTGTCTGCCCGGATAGGTTGAAAGCTGTTAGAGCTCTGTCCCCATCGGGGGTTTAAGCTCGCCCATTTTACCTGCATATCGCCTCACATTCCCAATTATGATTAAAGGAAGAAATGGTTTAACCATCTTTAACCTTTTTCTTAGTCACTGCTCTACATCCTGGATATTCAGCTCATCTTAATTTTGGGTCAGTTTTTCTAGGCATTTTTTTTTTTAAATCATTGGGAAGCTACAGTTTTCTCCTGAGATAGCTCGTCCACTTTGCTTTTGTTTAGTTTTTTACAAAATATACCGGTAAATTGTAAGAAGATTCAGAGAAAGACACAGTCTGTCCAAAGCATATTTGAAAGATTATCTGTACAAAACTGGATATTTCTTCATGTAAACTCAAAGTGAATATTTGGTAGAACTATCCTGAAATGCAGATAAAAAAGTAAATCTGGAATCTACAGCAAATCATTATACACAAGAAATTAGTAGAATTTGGATCTGCTCCATGTGGTCTTGCGATTTATTATGCAACTTTGTTACAAAATGCAGCAAACTTGAAAATAAAAAGCAAAGCCGTTGTTGGCAAATGTGTGAAAACATAAAGCAAAAGTCAGCCACTCTGAAACAAGCCATTTGATTGTCGACAACTTGTTAAAATCAAATTTGAAAGTTAGATATCTGCACGTAATTGATTTATTTGTGTAGTTCTAAGCAATGAAAAAGTCGGATTATAGTCTAAAATGACGATAATGAATAACTGCCAGCTGAAAATGAAATAGATACGCCATCATCAATTTAAATGTGATGAAAGACATAAACCTCCTGCCTTATGCACCGGAGTAAACACAGGTCCTCTGCACAGGGACACACAGTGCATGTGTTTGTTGGTGTTTGGGTTTGCATTAATAGCTTTGGGGCAACAGAAATGGGTCTATCCAGAGAGCTTGGACCCCTGGGAGGGCCACACAACCTAAGTCTGTAGCCTCTGTCAAAAAAGAGAGTGTGAATTACGATTCGGAGCGAGTGCGTTTGCTCACCGCGGTTTTTTTCCTGCCTCTTCCCAGAAGTCATTGAATCACAGCTGATACCATCCGCCCAACACTTTGCTTTTCACTCTGACGTATGCGTGCGTGTTCTTTCAAGCACGCAGAAGTTTGGGCCGTTTCTTTCCTCCAGATTCTGTGGCGCTGAAGTCAGAGATGGGCAGTCGGTCCCGGGAAATGTGTGTGCGCTCCAAGTGGCTGTCTTTTGTGTGTGTGTGTCTCCATCAGCCGTTGGTATCTCAGCCCGTGTCCAGACCCCCCTTCTCAGGGGAAGAGCAGGATATACTTAAACCTCTGAGTAATGCCGCTGGCAGGCAGCCGTGCACAGACTGAGGCTGCAGTGCGCGTTCATTGTGGGGCAGATGCCCCCGCGGGGCTTTGTTTGGTCACATCATCCTGAGTGAGGGCTGGCAGAGCCGTCGGATGTCTCACACAGAGCCAGACTGTCACCATGAAAGCCTGCCAGCCCGCTACTGTCTGCTCCTTACAGCAAATGTTCGGCTTCATTTGGATCTCAGATAGTTTGCTGTTTCATTTTTTTTTTAAAGTTTGCATTGATTTATCAAAAACAATCCTGATGTTTTCCCTCTGCATCGCTGTCCTGGCTCATCTTTACATTTCACTCTTTCCTTCCCCTCTTTCTTCCCTTCTCTTCCTCTCTTGGCTGCCCCTCTCTGCCCACCTCCTCTCACTGTTTTCCTTCCTTTTCTCGTCTTTGTTTGTTATTCGCTGCCTCTATAAATCAGCTCTGTTATCATCAGCAGCTTTTAGCTACAGCCACCCACTCATGGCATCCTTTATAGAAATGTTGTTGAAAGCTACAGCCCCCCTTAACCCCACCCTGTATCTACCCCCCCCCCCCTTCCCTCTTTGTCCAGCTGGGAGAAGCGAGTGGACCAGCGCGGCAGGTTCTACTATGTGGACCACAACACCAGAACCACTACATGGCAGAGGCCCACGGCCGAGTCTGTGCGCAACTACCAGCAGTGGCAGAGCCAGCGCAGCCAGCTGCAGGGCGCCATGCACCAGTTCAGCCAGCGCTTCCTCTACCAGGTACTTTGTGCTTCACAGGAGTTTGAGTTGTCTCTAAACACACAATGCACGCGCACTTTTCCCAATTTCAGCAGGGTCCCTCACCTTATTTGTTCCATTAGTTTTGATTCTCTACATGGATGAGCTTTATTTAATGACCAAACCCTCAGAAACAAAATAAGCTTCTGTAGCATTTTCTGCTGTGCAGCTCATTGAAACACAATAGCAAAAAGACAGCGATGTTTGTCAGGTTTGTTAGCAGGGACTTTTGCTAAATGACCCAGTGGCGTGTCCTGGGTGCACCCTGTCCCTCCCCAATGACCGCCCCCCTGCGACCCGATTAGGAATAAGCATTGTGGTTGATGAATGGATGGAATTTAACAATGTTTTGGCCAAATGTGCCTTTCCCGTCTCTCACAGTTGAAACCCCTCTTATCTAATATGTTTCTGCTGCTTAGACGTGCTGTTCTCAGATCAGCAGAACTGAGGCCTGCACAGAGTTGTGTGTGGTCATTTTTGGGCCGTGTGTCTGATGATCGCTGACCTCTCAGCGATGCTTCCAAGGTCAAGGAAACAGTAAAGACTCCCTGGATGAAAACACCAGCGCTTCCACCGTAGACTGAATGAAAACCGGCCCTAAAACTCTTACTGGCTTTCGGTAAAAAAGCCGCGGCGGGTTGTAGCTGTTATGTTTGCCTGTCCCTCTCTCAGTCTCTTTGTGTCTGTTTTTATGTGCATCCGGCTGTGTGAACCTTTTGTTGTGTTGGTTATCTGAGGTTAATCCATCCTTCAGGCACTCGCTTACTCTTTTAATCCTTCTTGAAACCTATTTTTCACTAACTACTCGTGTTTTCGGGCCTACATCCTGCACTATGCCTCTTCCTGTTTGTAACTGTTGTGTCAAACCCCAGCTCCAAAGAAAGTAATCACCGTTGCTCTCGCACGGCAGAAGCGACCTTTAACCTTCCTTAGTTGGACATATAAGCCCAGCAGCAGGGAGAATGACCCCTTTTGTGGGAAATGCCATAACATGTTCACATAAAGTGAGAGCAGGTGGTGACGGCTGTAACTTTTGGCGTCTCTTTGTCCTCTGGCATCTACACTAGCTTTGGTAGGTGATCATTTTGACCCCTGTTTGTTGTAGAATTCTGTTTATTCTGTTGATTGTAGCTTAGTGCTTCCCCTTCTTTGCTCTCTCTTGTGATTTGGAACTCACTTGAACCCAAAAATTATCAGCGAGAAAAAAATGTCAGCTCCAATTTAAACTAATGTGTCAGAATTATTCTCTGTGGAAGCATCAGAGAAGCAAACAAACTTTTACCTGATCATACCTTCACAATATTAGCTTTCTTTCCCTGACAACCCCCCCCCCCCAGTCATGTTGTACTCTTGCATTGTTGTCATTGGCTGCAGCACCTCACCCTGGAAACTTCTCCATTTTGAAAAAGACTATTGTCACTATCAATCTTTGTTTATTTTTTATTTTTCTTGTTGATTCTTTTGGAAAAGAAAGTTTCGGTTAGAGCTGGAAACTTTCCCTCCATCCTTACCCCCCCCCCCCCCCCCTCGCCCCAGTGTGTGTGAGAAAGCCAAGAGGCAGGTCTGCCCTCGGTGTTGATAGTACCCGGCTCTGTCTTGGAATGCCCACACTGCTGATAGCAGCGACTATTTATGGCCCCAGGGTGTGTGAACGAGGAAATGCACACAAAAGCGCTCATAGTTTTACAGTGAACACAGCCACATGCTCCACTGCCCGACTGACACTCCCACCACTGACCCTCCCGAGCTTTTTTTAAGGGTTTGTGATGTGGGGCCTTACAGGAAATAAACGGTCCACACAACGAGGAGGGGATCATCTCTCACTTTTCTTGCTGCTTTGTGGATGCTGATACTGAGCTTCTCCTACGTGTGCATGTGTTTATGAGGGTTTCTTTGAGCTCATGTGTTCACAGGGCTGTAATTTTGAGGTCGGGTGCCACATTTCTTCTAAAGCACATGACAACCAAAAAGGGTCAGGGGGGTTGGTCGTCCTCTTAAATGGAGCGCGGTGCTGTTATGGGCATGGACACTCACACATGCATTGGGCAGAAGACCTCAGAAAGAGGGACATTTTGACTTCAGACACCTCTAAGGATCGCTTTGAGATCTGCGCTTCTGGGGAATTTACGTTTTAACGGGTTCAGTTAAGTGAAACCTATCAGTTCAGTTTTTCTATTTTAAAGTAAAATATGAATGCACATCAAACCAAAGAAACATTCAGTAGTGAAATTCGGTTTTCCCACTCAGTGTTTCCAAACCCTGGTCTTTAAGGCACACAGCCAGCCCGTCTTCCAAGTTTCCCTCTTCCAGTACACCTGATTCAGCCTTCTGCAGAGCTTAAAGAGCTTAAAAAGCTGTCCCATTCATTTAATTCCAGTGTGTTCGAGCAAGGAAACTTGAAAAACATGCAGTGTGGTGTGTCTTGAGGACCAGAGTTGGGAAACACTATTTTGTCTTCACCCCCTAAGCTAGAGGCCACGTTCATTACCGTTTGGCACATGTGCCGATTTCAGTGCGCGTCACAAAACCTATTCACGCGTTTTTGAACAACTAAAAAAAGGGTGCATTCTTATCAGAGTGTGACCTGATCCCTGCGTTTTTGATCAGAAATAGGATGCAAAAATGTGCTCGTGTCAATCTAAAAGCGGTCCAGAAAGAAATCCTGCTTCGCTTCATGTGAATGTTATGCAGCTGTTTGTCTCAGGTTTTGGTCATTTTGTCATTAAAATGATGGTGTTAGCAAATAAGAAGCGTTTCTCGTACTTGGATAAGAAGTGGGATAAAACTTCTTGGTAAATTACAGTCTTGTGCCTTTTCTGGTTTGGTGTAAAGGAACTAAGTCAGCTGCTATAGTAGTATTTTTAAAAGAAATCTTGATGCCGTTCAGCTTGTGTCTGGAAGTTTTTTCCTCGTCATTTAACACCAGTAGACAACATGTTCGGACAAAAGTTGGGATTTTCTTGCGGTTTTCTTTTTTTTTTTCTTTCTCTTAACTTATTCCCAGCTAATTGTCAGAGTAATCATCACATTCATCGGGAACGAAAATATTGACCAGTCCGAGCAGAGTTATAAACACAAAAGTGTGTTTGCAGAGTAATTGCAGCTCGTTAAGAGGGCAGCCTCGCAGTCATTAACTCTCCCCGTTTCCTCCCCCTCTGCCAGTCTTCCCTTCCTTTTCATTTACCTCCGCTCTTTCCTTTAACCCCTCCCCGCCGTTCTTTTGCCTCGTTAGGCATCCCCTCCCCAAACAAATCTCCCATTTCCGTCCCCAAAATCCCCCTTTTCTGGCATGTCTTCATTTTGTATCAGGCTCATTTTACAGAGGCTCTCCTTCTCGCTCGTTCTCTTTCTGTTTTTACCCCTTTTTTTTTTTTGCTCTTTCCCTCAGCTGCCTCCTTCATCCCCTCCCATTAATTTTCTGTCCATTCTCACTGGAACAAGGGCTCCTTAACGGCAGCACCTGAATCAACCCTGTGTTGTATCACTGGCAGCTCTGCACAGAAAGCCCCCCCCCCTCTCTCCGTCCACACGGCTGCGTGTGTCCCGTTCACCCCTGTTTACACACAAACTCCTCGGCGCTCATATTTCCATTGACGACATTCATACCATGAAAGGACAATGAACAGAACACATTTAACCTACTTGGTGGCCGGTCTCATTAACACTGTGTGCTTCTACTTCTGCTTGCACACAGATAAACTATTTTCTGCACATTGATTGGGCCCAGTTTGTCCTGATGGATGCAGACACTCATTGTTTGTTGGCTGATTAAAGCAGCGTTTCAGATACACTTTGTTTGGTCTTTAACCTGGTACATCAGGTGCAGTTTTTGCTCCCTTCTTCTGGAAACTAGTTTTCAACTAAAGCCAACAAGAACGTTTTCATAGATTTTTGTTCCGTGAAGATTTAAGTGGATTTTATTCTCCATTTAAAGTCCAATGCGAGAATCCTTCAATTTAAAATCAAAATTGTTCTTAAAAAAACTGATTGGTTTTGTTTCTTAGGTTTGTGGTTAACAGTCTTATCTAAAATGTTTTGATCTTCATTAACGGTTGCAAATATAAAAAATTACAGCTGCATCTCTTTGTGTGAATTAAGGCCGTCTTTGAATCCACTCGCTGACGAGTCCAAAATTACTGTGTAGGAGCCGGTTTGTTGTTTGGGAACATGTTCTCAGATAAAGCTGTCTGTGTCTGCGAGGGCCAGAAGACAGAGGTCAGAGTCGTCCTCCTGCATTACGCAATGCAAAATGACTACTTTTAGTTTCACGAATAGCTGTTTTTTTGTTGTTTTTGACTGGTTCAGAGCGACTTGCGTAAATGGCCTTTTTCACCTGCCTGGGATTGAAACTTTTGTGGCATATTCCTTCCAGAATCTGTAACATCCAACCTTTCTTTCACACGTTTGTGCCAACACGCTGCTTTTCCCTCGCTTCCTCCTCCTCCCTTGTTTTCCCAGTCTCCCTTTCTTTTCCTCCCTTCAGCCTCTCTCGGTCTGGGAGCTGCTGAGGAGCTCAATGGTCAGAGCCAGGATGAAGTCATCATGTCTTTATATCATTATATTCTCCTTTTACCTTTTTTAGTCACAGAAAACCCTTACGGGTGGAGCGCTGGGGCACAGATTGGCTGTCGATGGGACACACACACACACACATACACCCTTTAACCCTGTTATGTGCCCACTCCTTTCCATCTCGACTCCCTCAGAGTTTCCATGACAGAGCGACTTTAAATGGGAGAAATGCTGTGACGTTGACACTCGGTGGATTACGCTCCACTCTCCTCGCTGTTTAGACCGAGCACCAGCTTTCATCTGGAAATTTCTGTTTTTTACATGTTTCACTCTACATCCAAAGCCCCCAAAACAAATAAGCCATTACATGAAAACAAATCCCCCCCAATGACTTTTCTGCTGTGATTATTCATTGTTTTGTGTACATTAAGGGTCACTTGGCTCCATGTTGTGTTACTGTGTCAGAGCTGGGTGCACGCCCTGCTCAGCGGTGTGTTTAATGATGCTAAACCTTCTTGTTACACACCTAAATCGTCCGTTTTGATAAACATCATCTTGCCTGAAAACCCACCGGCAGCCGCTAATTCCCAACAAGCATCTTTTCAGCTACTTTTCCACTCGAGCTAAAATATTCGTGTGTGTTTGTGTGTGTGCGTTCCCACATAAGAACAGCTGCCATTGACTGCCTGTTTGCCACGGACAAACTTTCCACAGCGTGGCTCACACACACACACGCACTTACCTTTTTTTTTCCTCCTTTTTTTTGACGTGTGTGTGAGTATGAGTGCACGGTGAGTAAACCCCACAGTGGTTTCCAGGCCCAGGGTGAATAAAGGTGCCTTTTGTCAGGGCTCGGGTGGGTGGGGTTGGGGAGGAGGTGGGGTGTCCAGTCTGGAACAAGCATGAATGTTCCCTCAGTTCCCTCAGACATCACACTTCCCTGCCTGGTTTCACAGCAGCGCTAGAAGAGAGCGAGAGAAAGCAGGAGGCGGAGGGTGGGGCTGGGAGTGGTGCCGGGGTGCAGGAGGAGGAAAAGGAGGAGGCGGTTGGGTGTATTTGAGGAGGTAAGCGGGAACCTAGAGGGGGGGGGGTGGGGCTTGCATCCAGCCAGTGAGCTCATTGGAACAGCGTTGTTGTTTTATCCTCCTCCCGAGCGTGTAGTTTTTGGAAGGCATACGAGCGGCCGGCCGGCCAGCGTCTTCAGTCGCCGCTCGCTGCTGCAGCAGAGAGGAGCCCCCCCCACCCCCCTCCCACCACTCCATGCTCTGAGCTCCTCTCTCACACACACACACACACGCACAAGCTTTAACCACAGATATCACGCCTGGTTTCACGAGGAAGCGAGGCCAAAGGAAGACTCGACCCTCACGTCCACCGAGGTAGCCGGGCTTTTTCAAACTTCCGGTTTTTGCCTCTTCTGTTTGTTTTTTCCACCTGAACCTTGTCATTCGAGCCGTCCGAGAGAAGATTCTCACATCCCTCTGCGCGGCGACGGCGAACTCACCAGAGAGCTGCAAGGCAAAGAGGAGAGAGACAGAAAGGTGTCCTAACTGGATTTGCTTTGTGTCTCTCTGTTTCTCCCCCAGCCGTCCGGAGCGCCGGTGGAGAATGACCCTCTGGGCCCGCTGCCTCCCGGATGGGGTAAGTTTGCCCGGCACGCTCCCTCCCTGGGGAGAATCCTGCAGGTGTGTGCTTTTTTTTTTTTTTTACTTTGTCAAAGAATTTCTGAGCTGCCACCAGCCTCGTAGGTCTGGCCAGTCTCTCCTTTAATCAGCACTGAAGCAGAATGTTACTGGGTTCTTTGATTTAGTTTGCTTTTCATCTGAGAGAGAGCCGCTTTTCAAACACAGACGTGTTTTTCTGAAGTCGGAGCTGGACGAAACAGCAGAAGCGGGCTCTGCTGTTGTTCTCCCATGGCTCTTTGTTACGGACCGCTGTCAGCGGATCAGCTGGTAATCGGCTGATTTATGTCCCCACACCGCACTGATCTCCAGTGTCACTCTGCAGTAGGGAATCTGGATAAGATCTCTTTGCTTTTTCTGTTCGAATCTCGGCTCATTTATCACTGTACTGGCTCCACAAATTACAGGGGCAGCATTATCGATGGGGCCCGTTCATCATCCGCCGTTTTCCTGAATGAGTAATGTAATCGAATCCACGCCGAGTCGCGTCACACACATTTACTCATTCACAAACGAACGCTGCTGGCAGCTACCGTCCCGCCAACATTTTCTCAGACTTCATCTCACAGCCGCGTCCCCTCCAAAAGAGCCCCTCTCCCGGCCCGTGATGCCTTTTCAACATGTTGCGGTGCCTCAAGACGAAAACCTCAATTATATCACTGGCTCAGATTCACGTCTCTGGTGCGCTCTTTTTCATCTGCGGTCGGGGCTCGGATTCAAGAAGAGAAAAGATGGAAAGACGGATGAAAAGGGAAAGAGATGGTATCAAATAAAAAAAAGGGGGGAGAAAGAGGGGGCTCAGGCTGGATGGTAAAGGGGGGTGGAGCGAGCAAAGGAGAAAGTAGGTAAGAGTTGCAATGTGAGCACTACTGTTTCTGGGCCTTCCACACACGGCTGCTAATGAGAAAAAGATGTCAGAGCCACAGAGGGAGGAGGATGGGGCACCAGCTACGCTCTCCAGAGGCCACTGGACTCACGTGCACGCAGACACACACAACTCGTACACACTTCTGTTAGAAATTATCCTCTGAGGTGCGTTTTATGTTCAGAGAACTTGAAAAAGTTCAGCATTCAATGGCATCAGAGTGGCCGCAGTTAGACACCCGGGCTCACACTTTCACTCACCCCAGCGAGGCATTCGGATCGAGCCACAGCGAAATGTCACACAGACTCGCTGGATTTCTCTGGTGGCGGTGAGAATTTCTCCCCTCTCCAAAGGGAAGGCGGACAGACAGCCTCACGGGCGCTTTCTCTGATCCTCGCCCCGTTTGTCACCCTGTTTTTCCTGACACCCTCTCCCTTTGTCATAAATCCCATCATAATCCAGACTCAGCACGGCCCCTCTGTCCTCTTTGTGTCCGCAGAGAAGCGTCAAGACAATGGCAGAGTGTACTTCGTCAACCACAACACGCGGACGACGCAGTGGGACGATCCTCGGACCCAAGGGTGAGACTCAGAGCCCCCAGAGGCGTCTGTGAGCATGTGTGCGCCTGCTGTTGTCAGGAGCTGCGTGGCTTTGGGTGTTTGCTCATACTGATGGCGATGTGATCATCACACACAGTATGACCACCAAGTGCATCATCCACATCTGGACATTAGCGGATGTGAACGCGTCCCCCGCTGATCAGGATCCCAACAGAGCAAAATATGGTGCATTCACTGAACTACATTTCGGTTCACACTCAAAACTCTGAATAACCAGAGGCAGATATGGAGGCTTTCTGGACTCCTGGTCTTCCGATAGCTCACAATCCTGGTACCATCCCCCCCTTTCTTTGGTATCGGGAAACTTCATGATCATTTAAAATGATTTTCTTTAGGTGCATCTTCACATTTAGATTTTAAATCATTTGGCTTTTCAATATCTCACCTCTGAGATAAGAATATTTCAAAAACTCTTCTGAACGTATAAATTAAAAGCTTAATTATGTCACATTGAGTTAAAACTTTACATTCAGATGGTAAAAACAAATATTTTAGACTAGTTGTAATTTTTTTCATTTAAAAAAATTCTTTGACTAAACTAATGACCACAGACACAAACTGTGAGTCTCTCCCAAGAAAAATTCTCTATATTTTACTCTTTTTTTTATCTCAGAAAAACAGCCTGAACCATCAAACGCCCGGACCAAAACGCGGCGGTAGTGTGGCTCGTGTTTTTTTGTTTCAGCAAATCAGGGCTTTATTTTAGATTGGAAGGAGAGGTATGTCAGTCTCCCCCCCGAGACGGGGCCCCCCCCGGCTGGGACTGTGCTCACTGCCCTCTCCCTGTTGCAGGATGATCAAGGAGCACCCCCTGCCCCCTGGCTGGGAGATGAAGTACACCGCAGAGGGAGTACGATATTTTGTGGACCACAACTCGCGCACCACCACCTTTAAAGACCCCAGACCCGGGTTTGAGTCAGGGTAACTATCGTCTCTCAGCCCTTCCTCCCAGCCTGCTTTGAATAAGAAATAAAAGGCAAAAAAAAACAAATTAATTCATAGTTTAAGGGGGAAAAGCACTTAATAGATCAATTTTCTAATAAAATTGCTTTAGCCGTGCTCTGATTTAACCGCTCTGCCACTGATGAGTCACACAGTGCCCTCCTTAGAGGAAAACCTTGAAAGAAAATCATCGGATCTTGATCTGGACTGCACGATCCATGTTGCTTTTTTATTCATTTACCTATTTCTATGATTTGCTGGAGTCAGCGCTCGGAGCCCAGAGCTCCCGTCCTATCAGAGCAGCACGTTCCCACAAACGCACACAGCTCGCCTCCTTCACAGCCTGTGGATGTTTGCCTTGCCCTGAAGCGTCTCAAATCCCACCGCAGAAGTTCGGGAGAATGTGCAGATGTGCAACAACCAGATCCACGGCAGGCTGCGCTGGCATGTGTGTGTGTGTGTATGTGTCTGTGGGCGTTTGTGCCTTTCTGTGTTGACTCTCAGCATGCGAGTGTGTATTTGCTCCTGTGGCTGCTGCTGCTGATGTAAAAGGCTTTTTGCACTGATATTTAGGACGATGCTTACAGAGAGGCTCCCGAAAGAGTCCTTTACGTTTTCTCTCTGGATCCTGGATCCTGCAGGAGTGTGTGTGTGTCCGTGGCCAGCGCTCTGCCGCTGCGGTCTCTGTTTCCTAACCCAGACCAAGATGTGCCTGGCAGCTCGGCGAGCATAAACCCGACACATTAGAGGCCTCTTTCTTCTTCTCTTCCCCCCATTTCACCCTCCGCCTCCCACCATCTAGCTCTATTCCTCTCTCTTTCTTTCACCCTGCATCTCAGCCTCTCCACTGCTGACGGAGCACATTTCCAGTGTGCGTCTGCACAGGGTTGGTGGAGCTTGAACTAACACAGCTGCAGGCCCAGACTCACCTCAGTCAAACAGACACAGACCAGCTGATTAGTTATTTCAAGCAGAGCGGGTGGCGGCGGCTTTAGCGTTTACACCGACCTCTGGAAGGAGCTTATCGAGTTTCTGTTGACAATTCCACTTTTCGTGTACGTGAAATCTAGTAAAACAGAGTGTGTCTCTTCTCTCTGTGTGCCTGTGTGTCTGTGTGTGCGCCTGTGTGTGTGTGTGTGTGCAGGTCGCGGCAGGGCGGGTCACCCGGTGCCTACGATCGCAGCTTCAGGTGGAAGTACCACCAGTTCCGTTTCCTCTGTCATGTAAGTGTCAAACTGACGCCGCCGACGTAATTAAACCTCACACTCGGCTCAATTCGTACCCTTAAAAAAGGAGGCAAAGGCTTGTGGTGTTTTTGACATTCCCTGCTTTTCGGGGATGATTTTTGACAGCAACAGGAAGGCATCTGGAGCCTCGTCCTGCAGGTTCTATGTCTCCCTGCTTCTACATCACTAGATTGAAAAGATCTATTGAAAAGATTTCTACCTTCTTCACAGGTCAAAGGTGGAATGACTTCAAAAGTACTGAAATTCAAAGCACTGTTCTCATTGGATAGAATTTTTACAAGAGTGTTACTCTAGGAATATTTGGATGATTCACAGAAGATGTAAATGTTTATTTCTTAAGCCGTTACCAAGTACGGTTTTATTTAAACAAACCTTCAAAAGCATAGTTGTTTCTTGGAAAACTTCAAACTTTCCTCTTACACCTCTTATTTCTCATCATCTTAACAGAAACAGAGAAAACTGGTCAGAAGTGAGAGCGTTATGGGGTTTTTAGGAGTTTTTCTTTGTGATATACTGACTTTTCCCTTGTGTTAATTGATATGCAAGAAAATATTAATATGACTATTTATGTGTGCTGATGAGAAATTATTATAAAAAAATGAAAGTGTGGACACAGGGTTTGGACACAAGTTTGTAGAGAACAAATTGAAGAAAGTGTAATGAGTAATCACATTTGATGTTATCACTGAGAATCAACATTACTGGAGCGTTGCGTAAAGTTCCAGTAAATTCCACAGAATTTGTGAAAAATATTAACTTTTTTTGGTAGATTAAAGTAAAGAATTACATTGTTTTTTCAGGTGATTTAAAGATTTGCATATATCAGATCATTGATCCCCGTTTTGATTTCAAGACTTGCAGACATTTTTTGGCTTAAAACTCCACAAAGATGTTGTTTTTCTAAAGGTAATAACATGTTAAATGGAGTTGTGCACCATATATACTTAACAGAAGTATCTCATTGAGAATTTATTAGATGTTGCCATCAGATCCTCCCCTCCCAAAGACCCAATGTGGTTACAGGAATCTGCTGTGTGTCCATCGTGTTTAAAACGTTTTGTTTTCTTCTTTCCTCTTTGTCTCTGTGCAGTCCAACGCTTTGCCCAGCCATGTGAAGATCTCCGTGTCCAGGCAGACGCTGTTTGAAGACTCATTTCAGCAGGTCAGACAGATTTTCAAGAGAATAATGCAAAAATAAAATAAAATCAACGGTGGTATGGAGGATATAAACGGATCATATTAGAGAGTTGATCTCTTTTAAAGCAGTAAAATGAGAACTTTAGAAAAGGTCATGACTGTCTGAAGGGTCTCTGTGAACTTCAACAGCTGAAAGGAGCCAAAACATTTTGCCCAGAGCTTTGAAACAACCAAATAAAAAAACTCTGTTCCAAAGTCTGTAGCTGAATAAATAAAAGCTCAAAGCTCAAAAACAAAGACAACAGATGAAAAAGGCTCTCAGTCAGTGATCATCAGCTCCCCCTCATACAGCATCGATGTGTTTGCTCATCAGATCATGAATGTGAAGCCGTACGATCTTCGCCGCCGACTCTACATCATCATGAGGGGAGAGGAGGGGCTGGACTACGGCGGCATCGCCAGGTAAGAGCGGCTTCAAAACAAGCGCACCGCCCCTCAGCTTTTAAGTCCTCGGCCATTTTGTCTGTTTTTTTCATGTTTTCTGGGACTTGTTTTGTGACCTTTTGCTATTTTCAGAAACATTTTTGTGGTTCATGTTGGTGGCGGTGACGGTGTGCTTGGTCCTCTTTCTGTTTTCTACACCAGCTTCCTGCTCCTCTGGATCTGAGCCTCGATGTTAATTATTAAATCTAAAGAGGATTTTAGATTCAGGTTCAGATTAGTGGTTTACATCACCTGCTGTTTGTTTATTTAAATAAGTGTTAACTTACCAGTTTATGGCTAAACTGATAGTTTTACATGTAACAAACATAAGATCCAGTTCAATGATTCAGTAATCTGTTTTGGCATTGGGCCAATCGTTTAAACGAATAGTTAGATAAGGAGATTTTGTTCTTCTGTTTGTTCCTCTGCTCCGCCTCCTGCGGTGAGATGTAACACTTCTGTTATAGAAACAGATCTCTGTGAAATCCCTGCTTATGTACAGTCAATCAGCCATGTCATGTTGAAGAGGCCACCAAAAGTCCACAAAAAATGTCAAACGCCCGCAAAGCAAAATGCTAAATGCTGTCTGGCTTTCCCAGACAGCCGAGTCCAAAGAGGCGTAAACTGAAAACGCACACGTTGTGAAGTCTGACTGTAACTCTGATGGATCCTCTGACGGTTTTCTGAACCGGCTTTAACACAAACTGTTTATGTGCTTATGTTGTGTAAAGGCCTATTTTGGTGTGACCGTTTTGTCCAGCTGTGGGTTTTTGTTCACCATTTTCCAGGATCTTTGTGCTTTTTATGGTTAAACGTCGAGCCCATGCGCCTCCTCCCCGCCCGGCATTTCTGTCCTCCTCCTTCCCCATCACACGTGTCCATCCTGCGCCCTGTCTCCGCTGTCCTTTGGGCCTTCCTCTCTGTGAACACTCTCATGTTTCTGTTGGCGGTGTCCTCATTTCTTCTGTTTGGTTTTTTGCATTGTGTCTCTGTCTCCGGTGTCACGTCAGTGGTTTTACCCTATGGTAGGTGACATCATGCTGTTCTACCACAGGGTAGAACCACGGACGGGATGTTGGGAGGTGTCTGCGTCCGTCCGTCCGTCCGTCAGTCCATACACCACCGCCGCCCCCCCTCCCCCCCCGGGGGGGCTGGTGGGCTGGGAGTGCTGCCGCTGGTGGAGGGTCCTCATTCTGTCTAACACGCCTCCTCCCACAGTGCCTTTTTTAATCCAGCCCTGCCGTATTTATCCTCACCGTCATGTGTTCTGTCTTCATGTAATTCCCGAGTGGGTTCGTTAAATGTGTAGTCATTTCACAGCGAACAAATTTCTCCCTCGGGGAGGAATCTCAAGGCCCAGATCAAACAAACAAAGGACACTTAAGTGACTCGTGTTTGCTTAAAAAGTGTCAAACGGTTTGACGGTAATGAGAGTTAAAGCACACTGTTTTTAAGAGGTAGCCAGGTTCCTACACCACCTCCTATTTGGTCCAAGTAGTGAGTTGAATATCATATGATTATGATAACGATGAGAAGAATTAATGAACATATGATTTTTTACTAATAAAGTTTAGTTTTCTTTAGATTAGGGATATTTCTTTAAAGCAGTCAGACTACAGTCATTTTTAATCTGTTTTATTTCAGTCTATGAATGTTATTATTGTTTTGTGACCTTGTTGTTATATTTTTGATTGTGCTGCTTATTTCGTATTGGGTTTTTTTAAAGATGTTTTATTATTTCTGTTATCTGCATTTTTGAAAAAAGTGTCTTTTCTGTTTTGGGTTTTTTTCTTTTTCGTTGTTGCTGTTGTTGTTGGTTTTTCTATGAGTCAATTTGTCATAAAAAAGGATTCTTTGAGGTGATTTATCCCCGACAGCTTCCCGACCGGCCGGTGCTGCGTCTCCCTCCCCGGCGGTAATGCTCTCTGTGCTCTGGCTCCACAGGGAGTGGTTCTTCCTCCTGTCCCACGAGGTCCTGAACCCCATGTACTGTTTGTTTGAGTACGCCGGCAAAAACAACTACTGTCTCCAGATCAACCCTGCGTCCTCCATCAACCCCGACCACCTCACCTACTTCCGCTTCATCGGACGCTTCATCGCTATGGTGAGCTTGACCTCAGGGCAGTTTCATCTAATCTGTCAGAAGCTAAGTGGGCCGGGCTAAGCCATGAAATGCGTGTGCCCACAGTCTGGACTCAGGAGGGCCCGCTCGCTGTAGGTCACCCATTCTCTGTGTTTCGTCTGGAAACCGAAAGTGTAGAATTAAGGCCGGTTAGAGCCTCATAGATGCACCAGACATGAAACTCAAAAGGGTTTTTAGTCAGATTTTTTTTTTACTGCTTGAGATGTCTGCTTTCGATCCCTTTTGGCCCCTTTTTTTCTCGCTGCCGATCAGACTTTATGTTAAGATAATTGAGGACTGAATCAGTGCCTCTGAAACCCATTCATTTCGCAAAATGTTCTCTGAAACCTGAGCAGTGTTTGAAAGCAGCGGCCCGAGGTTTTTTCAGAAATAAAAAACATACGGGAGCCTAAACCCACACGCTTTGCTCTGAATTATTGCAGGTCATGCATTAAAGCAGGGCCCGGCTTAGCTTAACTCATTTCTAACCCTGTCTGAGGGGCATGGATTTATGTATGTGACTTTTTAAACCAGTTTTAAAGGGTAAAACAGTTTTATTTTGATTTTAGAACTTTAGAACAATGCTGAAGTTTAGTTAATAGTTATAGAATTGTAAGAACACAAAATGTTCACAGGTTTTAGATGCTCAAAGGTACGTTTTGTGGTGGTGGTGTGGTTCTTTTGGTTTTAGGTGGGTTTTAAATCCGATTGTTTGGATAAGTCGTCTGTGGGACGTTTGGGTTGTTTTTTTTGGTTGGTTAAATAAACAGAGATCTCGCTGTTATTGCTATCGTGTCATCAGGTGCTGAGTTATTATTGGGATTGTTATTTTATGCCCTGATTCAGTGTGATTGAGATCAGTTTGTCTGAGAATTTTCTCGCCACTCTTGTGTGCACTCAAACATGGTTGTTTTGGGGCATTTGGATAAACGGTCATCAAAGATTGGGACCTATGTGAGGGACGCTGTTCCATCTTAGATGTCCTCACTTCCTGCGTTGGCGTGCCGTCACGGTTCTGATTTCCTCTGGTGAATCTGCGGCTATTGACAGCCTACTCGGAGAGAAGGGACTCTTTGTTTGTTTTTAAGACACAAATTCAAGTTTTAGTTTTTTTAGCCTTTGAGCTATAATGTCTCCCCGGGATGAGGTCCAAGAAGCTGTCGGTCCCCAGCCCAACACCCTCCACCCTCCTTCCGTCCGTCACCCACATCATGACCTCACCGCCGCGCCCAAGCCTTCAGCCGCCAGCAGCCGCCTATTTTTAGCCCCGAAACACACTTTGAAAGACGCTTTCCTCCGCTCGCCCTCAGCCGCGGAGCCATGTCAGGGCCTCCCTACCTTCCCCGGCCTCCACGGCCGTCCTCCGTCTAAAATCAGAGCAAACGAGTCGGTGACTGGGCGTCTGAGTTGTTGTTGGCTGGCAGTAGCTCCAAACACTCTGTTGGTCTCCATCTGGCTCTGAGTCCCTGGTGCCTGCTGCTCTGGGATAAGCAGAAAACCCTCCAGAGTGTCCTCTAGACAGCTCAAACGCTATCGGGGGGTAGTGGCTGCAGGTTTCCCAGCGAATAAAAGGCCCATTCACGGCTCCTGTAAAAGAAGCCGGCCTCTAAATGATTTGAGACGCCACAAGGGGAGCTGAACGATCCCCAGTCCACACGAGCTCCGAGCGTCTGAGTTTAGATGTCTAATTTAGTCTAATTTGTCGGGGGCTGATTTGAACCATGTGTCAGCGGAGTCCATTAATAGACACCGGAGTTTAACAGAACCGCCGGAGGCTGAAAAGGTTCCTGTGGCTCAAACCCGCTGTGTCGTTGGCTTCACCGGATCAAAGCCACGTTAGGAGGATGGCGAGCGGAGAGCAGCAGGCGGCGTCCGTTACTGTTCTAATGTGACACGTCCTCCCCGCAGGCTTTGTACCACGGAAAGTTCATCGACACGGGCTTCACGCTGCCGTTCTACAAGCGGATGTTAGACAAGAAACCCACCCTCAAAGACCTGGAGTCCATCGACCCGGAGTTCTACAACTCCATCATGTGGGTCAAGTAAGTATCGCAGCCTGTTTTTATTATTTTCTGTTCCTGAGGTTTCCCAGGCCTTTTTCTGGTTCGGAAATATAAAACCAACCAAAGATCCAAACCTTGAAAAATATTCCAGGCCTTCAGTTTTATGAAGACAATTTTGCGAAGTCACCTCTAAAGTGATTTCTTTATGTGTTTGCAGCTTCAAGAAGTTAACAAAATGATTAGCTTTGTATTTAATCATTGCTACTTATTCATTTGCTAAATAGAAATAATTAATAGTTTTTGTTAATTAGCTGTAATTGATAATTCATCAAAGCGGTTTCACGTCCTCATCTAGGTTCTTTGTCAATGTTGAAATGTAGAAAAGTGATTGTTTAGGCAGGATTTTCCTGGTTTTCATGGTAATTTCAGGTGATTAAATGTTAGAAATAAGAATTCAAAACTCTTCATTTAACCTGCAAGCCTTTCAAAATCCTGTTTTTTTTTCCTACTCTTGTAGGAACTCTCTGATCAAAAGCCGAATTTAGAAAAAAGCAATAGCCATGTGAAGGTTCGGTTTAGTTAAAGGTCCAAATGTGTGTGTGTGTGTGTGTGTGTGTGTGTCCAGGGAGAACAACCTGGAGGAGTGTGGAGTAGAGCTGTACTTTGCGCAGGACATGGAGATCCTGGGGAAGGTTTCCACCCACCAGCTGAAGGACGACGGGGAGAACGAGCTGGTCACGGAAGAGAACAAGGAGGAGTACATCAGGTGAGCAGGCAGAAGATAAAACGGAAGCCGCCGGCTCGAGGCCGGACCTGAGAAATGAGCGTGGGTTTTCCGCAGCCTGCTGACGGACTGGAGGTTCACCCGCGGCGTGGAGGAGCAGACCAAGGCCTTCCTGGACGGCTTCAACGAGGTGGTTCCTCTGGAGTGGCTGCGCTACTTCGATGAGAAGGAACTAGAGGTGAGAAGCTGCAGAACGGTTTTCACAACATATAAAAAAAGGTTTTTTGAAAAGCATCCAGATCCTGATAAGGGACATCTCCTGGAGCCATCGTTTCAGCTTGTCCTCGGCCTGTGGAGCCACTTCACCCTTCAGGGGTGCCGTGTCCGCACGGGGGTGTAACTGAGGCCTCAGACTTTCTAAAACAGGGGTACCCAACCTCGGTTCTCAAGGGCCACTAGAGGTTTACCTGCTTCAGCACGCCTGATTCTGATTAAGTGGGTCAGTTCAAAGGCTCTGCACAGGCCTGATTATCGCACACGCGTGGGAATCAGGTGTGTGTTTAAGCTGGGAAACCCCTAAAACTTGCAGGACAGCGTCCCTCCAGGGCCGACGCCGGACACCCCTGTTCACAAAGCATTCCTAAAACGTGACGTGACTCTGTTGGAAATCGCTCGGCTAACTCTGCCCCTCTAAAAGTCGCCCCCGTGTTCTCTCCGTCACAGCTGATGCTGTGCGGGATGCAGGAGATCGACATGTCCGACTGGCAGAAGAACACGATCTACAGACACTACACCAAGAACAGCAAGCAGATCCACTGGTTCTGGCAGGTAAGGAAAGGGCGCCCGAGGCTGGGGGGACGCCGTCGGGCCGCCGCACAGCGAGTGACCGGGTCTCCCCGCTGCAGGTGGTGAAGGAGATGGACAACGAGAAGAGAATCCGGCTGCTCCAGTTCGTGACGGGAACCTGCCGGCTGCCGGTGGGCGGCTTCGCTGAGCTGATAGGTACGCGACCCGCGGGCCGGTCCTGACCCCTGTCCTTATCCAGGGTTCATGCTGCAACGCTCTGCCTTTTTTCTGGCCCCGCAGGAAGTAACGGTCCCCAGAAGTTCTGCATAGACAAAGTGGGGAAGGAGACTTGGCTTCCAAGAAGCCACACATGGTAAGAAAAGACTGTCCCTCTGAGAAACATGTCAGGTCAGCAAAGTTAGACGAGAGAAAAGAGGCAGGAGACACGTTAACAAGTAACGAACACGGAATAGGGTGGAGCAATGGAGGGTGGAGCCTTTTCCTGTAGGTTGTCCTCACTGTCTTTTCCTGTAGGAATAGCATCCTTAAGCTCAAATAATAAGATATATGAGCAGATATTATTAGTGTTGACTACAAACGAGTCTTTTCAAATGAGTTTTAGTAGCTCTCCCCCTTGCGTTTCATCAGAAATTAAAGCTGCCATTTAAAGCCGTCTGTTCCATTTAGTTCCCCCTGTAAAACCTCCGACGTTTGATTTATTAGAGCGTATTTATTTCATCTGCAAGTTTGCGTACAGACCGATCAAAGATAACGGCTCTTGAGCTGCGAGGCTGCTGTCAAAGCGCCATAAATCGTGCTGTAAATGTGGCCGGCGGCCCTCCGCTGTGTCAGAACCTGCTCAGACGTTTTTATGGATGACGGCTTCACTCGAGTTGATGCGTTTCAGCATCGCAGTAATCCAGAGGCTGTTATCCAGAGGTCTTTGGACATTAACGCAAACACGAGCTCCAACAGAGGCTTCACTCGGCTTCTGGTAAAGGAGCCATTTTGTTTAAGGGATAAATACAGGAGAAGAAATCAGCTGATACTCAGATTAAAGGCAGAGCAGTTAAAGTGTCAAAATCAAAGGGTTCATTTTAGTGTAGAAATGTTTCCTGTAAACGATTTGACCACTGTGTGTTTAGCTTCCAGAATGTTAGAAGTGATCAACGACAGGGAAAAACTGCTTTTCTTCATGTTTCTCTGCTTCTGGCAGCTTCAATCGTCTGGATCTGCCACCGTACAGAAGCCTGGAGCAGCTCCGCGAGAAACTTATGTTCGCCATCGAGGAGACGGAGGGATTCGGGCAGGAGTGACGCAGCTTTACGCCGGCGAGGGGGCAAAGCTTCAATTTTTGTTTTGTTTTATTTTTTCGTTCTTATTTTGAGTTTGTTAATCACAGATCTTGGGATCAGCCGTCGTCCGAGGCTCCTCACGTCTGTTTGTGAACCGAATCGTTCAGAATCGGAGGCACAAAAACACACAGCAAGAATGTGTATGTGTGTGTGTGTGCGCGCGTGTGTGTGTGTGTGCGTGCGCATGCCAGTGCATGCGTGCACGCGCGCGGTCGTCCATGTTAATGCCATTGTGTTTATGAATATAGATGGTGTGTGTATGTCTGTGTGGGACGGACCAGATGACACCTAACACCCTCACACCTCCACTTCTCGCTTAGAAACCGCACCAAAACCCGACGGCATTACGGCCTTAATGTCGACTCACAACGGCACAGCTTCTCACAGATGCAGTACAACATATCTACCAGAGAGAAATGCATTTATTTACTTTATAAAGGGGCGACACGGAGACAGTAGCGTATGACCGGGACTGAGTGTGCGATTGTGTTTGAGAGCCGTTATCATGAAGTGCACCTCCGTTATAGAGGCTACAGAGAGGACATGAGGTTTAATTTTTTTATTCTTCTGTTAATTGTGAAAGTCAACATTGTACAGATCCAAAATAAATGAGATTTCAGTCTTATGCTGAGTTGATGCTTTTTTGTGTGAGAAAGAAAAAAGTCACTGCATAAGTTGTGTCAAGCTTTGTAAGTGTGTGAATGGGTGATTGTGGCTGTGGAAGTCTGTTGACCACTCAACTGGGTTTAGATTCGCAAGACTTTCATCTGATGCTTTAACACTGTTTAGTTTGCCCTTCAAACACTTTAAACCACATTTATTGGTTCGTGTATTTTCAGGAAAGCATAAAAACGGAGCAGAAGTGCCTTGAAATGTGTCCAAATCGAATTTTACATAATATATTTAAAGACAAAGACAGAGTATATACACATCTGATGAGATTTAAAGTTAGCCAAAACCCTCAGACCCTCACTTTGAGTCATATCTGTGAAGGTTCTCAGTCATCCAGGTCCTGGTCAAGCTTGAAAAGTTCAGTTAGGGCAGCTGGACGTAAGGTTTTTTAGAAGCCATTTGGCCTCTGATCCAAGAGGCTTCATAAGTTCTAACTTATGGTGGAGCTCTGAGGTTAATATACTGTGGTACGTTTGGGTCCTTTCTTTAAGTAGTGGCTTTTTTTGTTCCGTTCTCTGTCAGAGATTCCCACACTGCTTCAATAATGCTGAGGCTCTGGGGAGGATTCCTGCCCCCTCAGACATGCTGCCAGTGATTTTCTATCCATTGGTGCAGTTTTTTCTGCTTGAATGATTCATAGGTAACACAAGACCGAACTGAGAATGAGTGAGAAGGAAATCTCTTGCCCTTCTTGAGAAATATTTTTCCACTAAAGTTATTCTTGCATAACTGCTTCTTCAGGTCACTTTCAGACATCACAAGACGTTGATAGATTGTTTTTAAAGCCTGAGGACGGATTTAAAGACAAGTTCAAATATCAGTTTCTGAATTCAACCAGAACACAGCTTAGATGTGTCTGAATATAGTGATGGATTTTTCAATTCCATGTACGTTAAGTAATAGTATGGTTACAAAGAGCAAAAAAAATCTCATCAAACTAATGTGTTTGGCTCAGTTTTGTGTCATATTGTTTACTGGATTATTCAAGTGATGAGCAAACTTAAGGTATAGTTAACGCATACTGCTGATCTGGATCCAAAAGGTTATTTTGCTGTGTTTCCCTTAATAGATTTAATTACTTCTACTGAATTCTCTGCTAATGCCACTCAAATACATGCAAGTGAACATTTTAAACAGCATCAACACATACTTTGTTTTAATCAGAATTATCTTAATCATTTTAATTTTCTCACTTGTGGACCAAAAACACACTCAAACTATTTGGATATCGTGATTATAGACACAGAATATGTCAAAAACCCATCACTGCTTAAACTTCAAGTAAATATTAAACACTATACTTTGGCTGTGGTGGAATCCTTTTTTATTTGTTCCATTCACAGGCAGACAGTTGTTTTTTATTCTTAGAGCAATACAGATGCCTTAAACAATGTTGACATAATTTGATCCACTGCCTCTGAAACTAGTCAAAAAGGAGTGATTGTTCATGTAGACAAAGTCCTTCCAGTGCCGGCAGCTTTTTCCACTCATCAGGACGCAGTTTGTGGTTTGGCCTGCAGGCTCTTTATAATTGAAAATACATGCTTGGATGTAACCATCCAAACAATCCTTTACTGTTTGTGGCTCTCCAGTAAGCGTATATGTATACCAAGAAGCAAAAGACATATGGAGCACAGACACAAAAGATCCAGGGGTTTGGGACCCCTGAGCCAAAAACTCCTAAAAGTTTTACATAAATGGTGCATTCTTTTTTTTTTTAAGAAAAAAGTTGCTTTAAAGAAAGAAATAACTAGGAAAAGATGCACTGGGAAAAAAGATACTGGACAGATACATTAAATGAAAGAAATCTAAACAAACACAGAATGGAGCTTAGGATGAATAATATTAGAGGCCTACTTTGGTCTCTTATCCAGACTTGAGACATTTCAGATTGTGCAGGTTTAATCACATTTTTATCTTTTATGGATAATTTATAACCAAGAAAATAGGTTTGTGCAAAATATTTTGTGTTTAATGGCATCCTGGCTACTCATATTATGTACTGAACACACAAAGCTGTGGTTTTTACCGTGCAATCACTTCACTCAGTAACATTTTCTCTCTATAAAAGCTGAAATTGTTCCCTGTTATGCTGAAGATAAATACAGTTTTGCTGTACAGTTCCAGCCAACAGATATAGCCTGAAATGTTTTTTTAAACATTTATTGATATTTATTAATTTACAAAAAAATGGAATATACTAAATATATACCTGCTTTTTAAAATTAACTTTCTTTTTTTGCAATTATTTTTTTCCGAAAAAAACATTTTTGAGCTACAACAACGTTTGATTTTTCCCTACAGGGAATAAATACAGCATTTTAGGTAGTAGCATATCAACAATTAAACAACAGCTCTTTGTCCTTCAATAAAATGTTATCCCTTTTCCCCAAACCAATCATTAATAAAACTTATCAGTTCAAACGATTTTTTTTATTTTGCCTTTTTCAGGGCTAATTGTGAAAATCATTGAACCCAGCTTGGTTTAACCCGGAAGTAATTTCATCGACTTCTCGCGATACCTTGATGTTTCGCCTTTCCTGTATTGGGGCTCTGAAGTTGTTTAGGAACACATCTGTCCGTGGCTCCCTGGGGCAAATTAAAATGCTTTAAACCTCAGCCGCAGTTCCAATTGTGCTCTTCTTTTGTTTTTACATAAAAACCTGAGCTGTCTAATATGATAAACGCGGATGAAGTCGCCAAAATGTGTTACGAGCGTTTTAGCCAGCTGCCCCGGAGAGGGAAGCCCGAGCCGGGCAGAGAGTGGACCCTGCTGGCCGCTGTGGTCCAAATCACGCAGGTTAAAGGCTCTGACTCAGGTTGGACGTCACTGTTAACCACAGCGTCGACATATATATGTTTGTGTGTGTAGAAGTATTAATAGCGTAAAACTGAATGCATTTTTCCTGCAGTTGAGAAGGAAGTCGTTTCCATGGGAACTGGGACCAAATGTATTGGACGGTCATCTATGAGTCCCAATGGTGTGTTTTCTATCTAAAAGCTGTCGTTATCATTTATTCAGTTCACTATTGTTTATATCAACTTTTATTGAACTTTAAGTCACTGCACAAGTGAAATGTTCTTACCTTTGACCCACATGGTTGTCTAAAACTTTTAGGTGATGTGCTTAATGACAGCCATGCAGAGGTCATCGCCCGGAGGGGGTGCATCAGGTGAGTGATGGATGATTTAGTCTGTTTTTTTCACCCACATGGAATAAATTTAGTCCCAAGCTTAGTTTTTTGTGTGTTTTGTTCGTAGGTATTTAATCCAGGAGCTGCTCCGAGCTGTGAGCGGTCGGGGAAGCGCCGTGTTTTGTCCGTCTGATCAAGGGAGGTGGAAGCTTCAGCCAGGGGTTTCGTTCCTTCTCTTTACCAGTCACACCCCTTGTGAGTCCCTAACAAGCTGTGTGTTTGGCTGCATTTGTTTTCACATCAACACACTGTGTCTCATGATGGCAAAACAGTCCGCAAACCCACTGAAATGAGAGGTTTTCTGCTTTAATGTAGTTGTAACATTTTGTGAGAAAGTGAAAAAATACAAGCAATAGCACAGATGTGTCAAATGTATTGTGTTCTTCACTGAATTCATTTCATGAATTTCCCACATTGGCCTAAATATATTTTTGGGGGGCGTGTTTTCTGGTTGAACAAAAGATTTTTCTGATGGGATGCAAAAATCCACAGGAAGTGGTCTGAGTCTTGTTGTTTATCACCAGGTGGGGATGCTTCCATCATCCCCATGAGTGACAGCCCGTCTCAGCCCTGCCCCCCCGTCACAGATGACTGTGGAAGGACCGATGGAGGAAGAGACCTGAAAAGGAAAACAGAAGAACCGGGTGGGAGGCAAAACTCAAAGCTCCCACGTCTCGATGAAACGACAACAGAAGAAGACAGAAAACAGCTGGAAGCCTGGACTGTAGGGAGGAGTCTCAGGCAAATGGCCTCAGAGGATCAGGGCAAACCCGTGGCATCCACAGAGCCAAACCAGAACATCTGTCCGGGGGTCCCTGACGTCCACAGGACGGGGGCCAAGTGTGTCCCGGGCGGCCCGGCCGACCCTCTGCTCCCCGGGGAGGGATACCACAGCACAGGGGTGCTCCGGGTGAAACCGGGCCGTGGAGAGCCCACTCTGTCCCTGTCCTGCAGCGACAAAATGGCCCGCTGGGGTGTGCTGGGCTTCCAGGGCGCGCTGCTGTCCCATTTCCTGGAGGAGGCCCTGTACTTCAGCGCCGTGGTGGTGGGGAAGTGTCCGTACAGCCGGGAAGCCATGCACAGAGCTCTGGTCGCAAGGTGGCGTGTAACTCTGGAACATTTGGCCCACTAGTGTCCCCGCAGAGCCGGAGACACTGGCTGTGTGTCGGGCTCGGTGGAAGGTCTACGTCGGCACTTTTCTCGTGCGTGACAGCCGTTTTCCCCCCATCCAGGTGCTCCCACGTGTCAGAGCTGCCCGCCGGCTTCTCTGTGTGCCCGCCGGTCCTGCTGCACTCCAGCCTGGAGTTCACCTTCAGCCACAAGCAGACGGAGCGCCAGCACCAGGCCGGCCAGGGACGCGTGTCCCCCTGTGGAGCAGGTTGGCCTCTTTAGGAGAACAACGCTTTTA